AACGGATGCTTTGTGTCGCCCCTACGTTTGGAGCAGTTGGTCCACGAGGGGGACCCAATTGCCCCCTTCCTTTTTCTGGTCATTATGGAAGCATTAGTTGCCAACCTCCAGATAAACAAAAACATTACTAGAATCCGATTCACACGCAGTCAGGAGGACGCAATTCCGGTGTGCTCCTTGTTTGCTGATAACCTCACGATAATGGCAGAAGCCACACATCAAAATATGGAGGAAGTACAAGAAATAATGAAAAGGTTTGTCAGGGTCTCCGACATGATGGTCAATTGGGGGAGCAAGACATAAGTATGGTGGATTTCACTATCAAGGGGGACACCCTCCAGAGTCACCCCACATTACATGGATGTCGTTAGAAACCCCAGTAAGAATCCTATGGGTATCTAGGACCACAGAGGGACGCCCACCAACTAATGACGAATGGATCAACGCCCCGACTAAAAAAAACTAAATAATTGGAAAAATAAGCATACATCCCTGTTTGGATGCGCAATGGTAGTCAATAACGCAATCTTTGCAACAATATGGTACAAGTCCCTATTCTGGCTATTGAGCAAAGGGAAACTGAGGAGGCTACGGAAAAAGGCAACGATTTTTCTATGGAGGGGGGATGGCGAGTAGAGCAATGTGATCAACCGAGTGACATGAAATTCAATTATCCAGCCCAAGGCAGGGGGAACCCTGTGAATAATCGACCCAGCCACGCAGATGCAAGCACTTCGATTAAAATGGATTAAAAACTTATTTTCGACCCCTAGAGCCTGTGGTACGTCTTAGCTCTAGAACACTTGGCCTGACTGTCCCCGGCAACCCCCCAAAGGATCCACCCGCTGGCATGGTTGGAAGACCGTTTCTGGACGGTCCCACCCAAACTCCCACAAGGAAGGGTGGGGCTAGATGGCGGAGACCAGACAATGGACAACTTTTGGCCATTCCTACTGGAAACATGGCACAGACTTCCGCTCCCAAATAGAACCCACCCCGACCGTTGGGCGGAAGTCTACCGACAACCCCTGTTTGGAAATCGATGGGTGACATATCTGAGAGGCTGCATCATGATAAGCTCGTCCCTGCCCTGGAAGAGCAGAGTCAAATGAGGTGTCCTTAGGGTTGCGAATCTGTGGGACAACGAGAAACAGGACTGGATAACAAGAGATCAATTGTGGAAAACCCTACGGTACTGCCATCACATGGAGGGGTTTTTGAATAACCTAATTCAAGCCATACCACTGGCGTGATATCGAATTCTTAAACGGGGCCCCACCTTGAGAGAGGTGATTGGGTGGTAAATAGGGAGACTCCGCCGAGGATCGGCCAGATACATATGGTCTCACCCCAAATAGTCATGGTCGAGCACTACACTATCACCAGAATGGGCGCCCTCCAAGGGAGCAGAGCTCCCTTTTATTGGAAAGAGAAAGCATCAGTATACCAAGTGAGAGTCATAGAGGAGAAGGGACAGAGGATGGCATTCCAGCCATCCACACCGCTCCAGGATCTGGCTCTGGACCCAGTAGAATGGACATGGACCCCCCCCCCAAAAGAGGGAAGGCCCCTATGTTGGTCACATCAGCCTGCATCAGTTGTCTGTCAAATCGGCCTATAAAATGCTCAGACCCAAACGATATCTGAGGGACACCGTTAACGATTGCTGGGATAGGCACCTTAATGTGGACCGCACTCTCCTGACACCAATCCATTGGTTCAGTGAACAAGAATCCAAACCCATGAAAATCACCTCCCTACAGTGGCAAATAGCTCATCATTGTTTGCCAACCAATGACTGGTTGACAGACCACAATAACCTAGAACAAAGAGGCCTGGTACTACCATGGTGCCAGTTGTGCCAGAGTTTATTCCCTTCCCATAAGAAGGTGGAGACATTGAACACATTTTCATGCAATGCCTGATCGCCCAATTCACATGGAGATGGTGGGACCGCATATGAGAGGCGGTTAACGGACACCCTAATTTTCAGACAACTTGTCATGCCATTTATAACAAAATCCAAGGGTCATTTTAACCAAACTTGCCACCACGTCATAGAGCAGGGACCATAATTACTAACTGCAAAAAAAAAACCTAAGAATAAAAGTAAAAAACCTATAAAACAGCATGGCAAAAGTGCACTTTCATGCAAATTTCGCCAACATTCAGTTTCAGAAATCTTGAGAAATTTCAGAAATCTTAGCATGGGAAAATTGGAAAATTCCAATGCTCCAAATGAGACCAAATCTGGTACGCAACAACCTTGAACCAAAAGTGTGCCGAAGTATGGATAATAGGTTAGCATTCCGAGCATTCTGAGTCTTTCATGTATAATGGGACTTTGGACCCGGTCTCCTGCAGGTGTTGCTCCCCACCAATAGAATGGATCCCTGTTAAAAAAGAAAGAAAACAACGAAAAAGGAAAAGAAAAGATGGACACGTTTATTCCTTCATACTAAGGCTGAGATTCAGGCTTGCAAGCAAAAAGGTAGTCACCACGGACTGGATGTTGTCCGTGCAATGAAGAATCTATGCACTTAAACCACCATAACATTTCCCAGCCATTTTCCTCAGACGTGCCTTGCATGTTGCTGCAACTTTTGGAGGTCGGCTGCCGGAGCAAAATGGCTGGTGGCACCAGCCAAAACGAGGCCTGCGCGGGTTCACTTTTTTTGGACGTGCAGGGCAAGTGGCTTGGAAGCACTGGCGATTTAAACCACCAGTAATTGGCCCAGCTATCGGTCGTGGAAAAAAAATAGAGTAGAAACATTTCTAGTCGGATGAATTTGGGCGCTCCTGTAGTGGCCCATACGTTTTCTAAAATCGTGGCTTGTTTACGGGTACGACTTTAGGAAGTACTGATGGTTTAAACCACCAGTACCTTTCCCCGCTTGGGATCAGGGGCGCGACGGTTAACACAGAGGCCCAATTCGGCCTCCAGCGCTGACCACATCCATCGGCCGCACTTGCCCTGCAGGGCCCGCAGCCGATATACGAGAAAGGTACTGGCGGTTGAAGGCACCCACCCGAGCTTGGAGAGGCAGGGCTCTAAAGCACAGGCTGCCAGGAAAGGCAGGGCTCTGAAGCACAGGCTGTCAGGAAGGCCCGCTCTCCAATGCTTGATAGATATGTTTCCTTAAAAAAAACAGCGATTCTTTGTAGGGAAAATTTGTCTAGCGCCCCTGTATTTTCCATTTATTTGCATCGCACCCCTCCGGCATGCAAAATACCCTGCCGCGCCCCTCTGACCAGTAGTGAAATGTTTCATGAACCCGTGGCGTCGTTCGGGCCTCACATCTTTTCTTAGTGCCCCTACCGGTACCCACAGTAACTTTGTGTCATGCCCCTACCGGATAGCCGTTGGGAAAATTTCCGATATGCCCCTACCGGTACCGTCTATCTTTTTACAGTGCCCCTGTCGCCGTTGGAGAGACTCAGGGGAATTTCAACCCACCCTCCCATAGGCCGTCTGCCTGTCTGCTCTCTCTCTCTCTCTCTCTCTCTCTCTCTCTCATACACACACACACACACACACACACACACACACAATACACA